GGGGTCTCGCTCTTGCTCAGGCTGGTCTCGAACTCCTGAGCTCAAACAATCCGCCCGCCTCGAAACTTGAAGTTTTGAGCCTTTTGCTTATAGTAGAATGATTCTTCATTTTAGTTATAATTGAGAATTACTCATTTTTAGGTTTAAATTAAATCAAGTTCTCATTCTATTAAGAAGAGGTAACTTTTCTTGTTATTTTTTACAGGAGAGAATGGGCAGCTCTGGGAAACATGTCTAAAGAAGATGCCATGGTAGAGTTTGTCAAGCTCCTAAACAGGTGTTGCCATCTCTTTTCAACGTATGTTGCATCCCACAAAATAGAGAAGGAAGAGCAAGAAAAAAAAAGGTGAATTTTGAGAGTGTGAAATACTTTACCCCTGTGCAGTCCCATGTACTGATGCTTTTGCTTTACCGAGTGCCTGCTCTAAGTCAGGGGTCTTACTTCCCTTGGAGCCCCTCTTCTTAGGGTAGTTGTTCATACTCCCTCATGTGAGCAAGTATTTATGAGTTCTGTGAGGAAGGAGGGCCGCTTCCTTCTGGCTATACCTTTAAAAGGAACCCCTCGTCCATCATGGCGGTATTCCTTTTGTCTTATTACACTAAGTTTCTTAGTAAGTTCCACCCTAAACTCAATCACTCCCTCCTCTCTATCCTCTGGTCTGAAATACCCTTTGCTGCTATCCCTTGAGCTTCTGGAATATTCATGCTCCATTTCATGGTTTTCAGCTATGCTACATGGTAGGCCTGTATAGACATTCATGTTGGCTCCCAGTTGGCTTATTATTTTCAGGGTTTGGACGAGAAGCTGCTGAATGTGCTGTTTATGTTTATGGGATTCCCGTTGTGATTATGAATTAGAATTATATTATAGTTACACCTTATTTATCTAGAGGTTATATTTTCAACAAGTTTGACTATCTAAAATTTCTAGGCAATGAAAACTATATTAAAACCAGTTTTTCCTCAGATTATACTTTAGAAACAGTTCATTCTCTAGTTTGCTACCTTAACCTGAATTAGAAATAACAGATTAGAAAATAGCTCTGATAGTGAGGGAAAAGATAGAAACTGTGAAAAATGAGACACAAGAATTATAAAAGCATGGCATTCAGGGGCCATTTATTAATAATATGAACAT